ATAAGGCACAGCCAGTATCTGGGTCTGGTAGGGGAAAGAGACCCATCCCTATCGGGTAGATCTGGATTATAATCCCATAAAGCACAGCCAGTATTTAGGGCTGGTGGGGGAAAGAGATCCAACCTATGGGGTAGGTCTGGATTACAATTCCCATAAACCACAGCCAGTATTTTTTTTTTCTTACCTGTTGGAATATAGAGTATGTCGATCGCACCAAGAAAACCATCTAAAAACAATGCACTGCATTTAAAATTTTTATTTTAAAGCATGATTCTGGTGTCAGAATAGTAGCACAGATTTTGATCATGCTTGTAGCATTTGGGGGGAATATCAAACATTGAGGAGAGCGTAGACTGCCTTTTTTTTTACAGAGTAAAACTGTAGTTTCAGCCAGAAGTCGTAGAACTTCACACTGTGTCCTTGGGATAGAAGAAACGATGCAAATAAAAGAATTAAACAGGAAGGTGCTTTCAGGATTGGTGGTTTCCCCTTTTTTATTCTCTCACATGGAAGAGCGTTTCTGCTTCTGCCTTCCAGAGACAGATAAAACCTTCCTGCTTTTCTCATAAAAGGGATATTGTTTTTAAAAAATGTCGATTCCCTTTTCTCTTTACACCCTGTACACTTTCTATCCTCCTTCATTTTCACTCATTTAAGAGTCATTCCTGGCCTCTTCAGCCTTCTGACAAAAAAGAAAAAAGAACAGGCTATTGAATTAAAGCAGTTTTTACACAACGGCTCAAGTGTGGAATACAAATTGTGCCTTTGGAGTTGGCTTGGCTCTTCTAAACAAAGTTTCCCAGTTGTGTCACTGCCATAGCTTTGTGGGAACTGAACAAGGAAGAAGAGACCCTGTCCATGCAAATTATTGCTTTTCATTGGGAAGATTTTTCTCTTTTTTAAAAATTTTATTTTATTTAAACCCTAAGTTTATTTTAACCCTATGACTATCACTAAGTAGTATATCTCATGATTTGTGATGAATGTATTTTTCTGATGACTATAATCATGATTTAGGGTAAGGGTCTTCAAACATGGCAAGTTTAAGACTTGTGGACTTCAGCTCCCAGAATTCCTGAGCTAACATGACTGGAGGAGGAATTCTGGGAGTTGAAGTCCACCAGCCTTAAAGCTGTCAAGTTTGAAGTCCCCTGATCTATCACCTATCAATTTATCATCTCTCTCTCTGTACCTACCAACCTATTTACCTATCTGTCAATCTATCTATGTATCTATCATCTATCACAAGAATTCCTCCTCCAGTCATGTTAGCTCAGGAATGCTGGGAGTTGAAGTCCACCAGTCTTAAAGCTGTCAATTTTGAAGAGCCCTGATTTGGGAGATTGTTTCCTGCTTGATCGTTTGTCAGGGGTTAATCCCTGTTTATCTGAATTCTGGCTACTGGAGAGGGCGATGTGTTCTAGTCTTAAACAGAGAGCAAAGCAAACCCCAAATGCATGAACGCTGATAATGTTACCTAGTTGGGTCATGAAACGGTCTGCAAGAAAACCACCAAGCTCCGAGAGCGCAAAGTGCTCCATCTCTTTGCCATAGGCCTAAGGAATTTAAGATGATCTATTAACTGGGTGTCTCTAGGTTGACCTTGCCCAAGCACTTCCTTCGACTCCCCATCAGGGTTGTTCCAGCCCTTGACACCTCTGGCCCTCCCCAAAAATTACCAACCTGGCTTATTACCCTCGAAGAGCGTCTCCAGGTTTGCTCATTGTCCTCCATTCAGAAACCTCCCATTCTTGGCTCGTACGAAACTACAGTAAATACAGAATTGCAAGAGAAGTGGCAATAACCCCGCAAAATCCCTTCACTTATAATCATAAGGAGCCTAAAGCAACAGAGCAAACCACCGCAAGAATCCATCTCCCGAGCTTTTTCTATCGCTTCGCTGTCACCTTGTCGCCCTTGCAAGCCTCTTGTTCGTCGCACATCTGTAATTGCTGCTGAATCGGAGCTTCTCTGCCTGGGCTTCCTAGCTCATCATCTTCCTTCCTTTGTGTTGACTGAATAATGACAGTTTGAAGACAGCTGCTGTGTGTGTGAGTCAGCTTCCTGGTGGGAGGCATTGGAATGAAGCCAGTGTTCCCTGCTAATGAATTTTCCTTTTTTTTTCCAAACGGAGAGGAAGGCAAACATGGCATTAAAGGGAGATTATATCAGGACCTGACGTCTGATTTTACCACTCATGTTGTGTAGGATACCACAAAATCCATTTGTGGAGCTGAGAGATAATATTTTGGTGTGATGAAATAATTGCTGCCCTGGACTAACGACCACAGTTGTAACATGGAAAACGAATTGTGGGTGGACGTGATAGCCAGATTCACACCATGTTTTAAGACAGTGCTTGGATTCCCGTTAGACACTGAATAGCCAGCTGTACAACCCCACTTAGGCTGTGGTGCCTAGTGTGAATCCAGTCTATGCTGGCTGGGGAATTTTGGGAGTTGAAGTTTAGATACCTTTAAATATTTACAGTTGGGAAATGTTGATCTTAAAACTTATCTTTGGTCTTGCATAAATGGGAAATTAAGATTATAATTTAAAAGTGCCCTGGCAGCTGCCGGAAGGGTTTTAAAATCAGACGTTTCAAGTTATTAGCAACTCTATTAATCTGTTAAATGTCTGTTAAAAACTTTGGTTGTCTCCTTTTGTTCACCTCTTCTGAATGACATTGTTTTCGAAACACAAACTACGCACCACAATTCCAAAGGCGATAATGTCATAAATTGATCTTCCCTCTTTTTTTCCCCCTTTTTTCCCTCTTCCACAGCAAATTTCTTATTTATGCCTGCCTGCTGCTGTTCTCAATTTTGCTGTCTCTCCGGCTGGATGACAAGATCGAATGGAGCTACTGGGCTGTGTTTGCTCCGATATGGCTGTGGAAGTTAATGGTTATAGTGGGTGCCTCCGTAGGGACTGGCGTATGGGCCCGGAACCCACAATATCGGTAAGTGGGACACGTACTTGCTTTGCAAATGTATTTTACAAGTCTTGGGTTTTTTTGCAAATTCTTTTGAAGATTCAGGTAAGACCCATCTTGACTTACAATAGTTCATTTAGTGACCAAAGTTTTGGCTTCAATTATGGTCGTATGTCAAGGGCTACCTGTTAAAGTAGACATTTTGTGATCCAGCTACCAAAGAAGCTGGTTCATCTTTGACTTGGTATATAACTGCAGCTACTGGTCTAGGAAATATCCCTTGGATGTGATTTTTTTTGTTCAAACTAAATAAATAGACTAGATTCACACTAGGTACCACAGCCTAAATGGAAACAGGTTTATTGCAGTTTGTTATTCAGCATGCAACGGGAATCCAAGCACTATCTTTAAAACTTTGTGTGAATCCATCCATAATTCATTTTCTGTGCTGGGCATCGCCTCTTCCATAGACCTAAGATTTGCATTGTTGTTTTGTTGAGCCTCAGCGGCTCAGTGGTTAGAGTGCAGTACTGCAAGCTACTTCTGCTGACTATTGGCTGCCTGAAATTTGGCAGTTCAAATCTCACCAGGCTCAAGGTTGACTCAGCCTTCTATCCTTCCGAGGTGGGTAAAATGAAGATCCAGATTGTTGGAGGGGCAAGAGGCTGACTCTGTAAACTGCTTAGAGAGGGCTGTAAAAGCACTGTGAAGCGGTATATAAGTCTTAAGTGCTATTGCTATTCCTTCCTTCCTTCCCGCCCTCCCAGTGGTTAGAATGCAGTATTGCAGACTACTCACTGTCAGGAGTTTGATCCTGACTGGCTCAAGGTTGACTCAGCCTTTCATCCTTCCGAGGTCGTTAAATTGAGGACCCAGATGGTTGGGTGGGGGGAGGCAACAGGATGACTCTGTAAACAGCTTAGAGAGGGCTGTAAAGCACTGTGAAGCGGTATATAAGTCTAAGGGCTATTGCTATTGTTTTTTCATTGTTTGAGATTGTTTTCATTGTTTCTTTCCGCCTGCTTACTATATAGAAATGGGTCATTTTCCAGGGACGAAGCTCAGTCCAATGTCAGGAAACGCTTGGGTGAACCTGTAGTAGGGGTGAACTAGCGGAATTGAATTTATTTATTTTTTAACTCTTTAGAGCAGAAGGGGAAACGTGTGTGGAGTTCAAAGCCATGTTAATTGCCGTTGGCATCCACCTCCTCCTGCTGATGTTTGAAGTTCTGGTCTGCGACGGAATCGAGCGAGGGACCCGTTTCTGGCTGCTGGTCTTCATGCCCCTCTTCTTCGTGTCTCCGGTATCAGTGGCTGCTTGCGTGTGGGGCTTCCGCCATGACCGGTCTCTGGAGGTGAGGAGGGTCCACGTCAGAAAACTTGAGGAGTGGGTCATCATTCAAAGCTAGTCCTGAATTTTAGTGAGGTTGTGAAAGGTTCTTTGTTTTGTACACAGATGTGCATGATTGATTGGCTCTGTGGGACGGTGGGACACCTTTAGAAGTATCGGGCTACCTGTGGGGTGGAATGTAGTCTGGATTCCTAGGAAGAGGGGTGGCTGTTTCCCAGAGGCTAGAGAGGCAGCGGAGCCTTTTTTGCAAATCATCTTTTGAAGATTCATAAAGGACTCATGATGAACAGGTAGTCCTCGACTTACAACAGTTCACTTTGTGACCGATGTTACGGCACTGAAAAGCATGGCTTATGGCCATTTTTCACACGGCCGTTGCAGCATTCCTATGCTCACGTAATTTGCGTTTGCTCCCTGCTTCTTATTTTTTTAAAATAAAAAATTCTCATTTGGCAAGCAGTCTGGTTCCAGGTTTCCCATCTCAATACAAACACGACCATAGTTACCTGTTTGTTATATTTGTTTAGTTTCATATTGCATCATCATTATTGTTAAACATTAAGCTATTCCAATTCATGTTATCTTAATACATTCTCATATCCTATTTTACAATGTTATCTAAAATTCTCATCTCATTTCTGTTTCTCATATTACTTTTATCTGTCACATTTGTCATTTTACCAATCTTTATCTGTAAATATAATTGTCCCCTCTGGTTAATAATTCAAGCTAACCACCTTCCTTCTACCTTAATATCAATCTCCCTATCTAGTATATAACACAAATATATTTTTTTCAGATTCCGCATTATATTTTCTCAAACACCTCATGAATCATCTATCTATACATTACAAAATGCTATTTTCAATATATTCTTCTACATAATTAATTTGCATTTGGATGCTTGCCAACCGACTCACATGACAGTTGCCGGTGTCCCATGGTCACGTCATTCCCTTTTGCAACCTTCTGGCAAAATTAATGGAGAGACCAGATTCACTTAACAACCAGATTACTAATTTAACAACTGCGGCGATTCACTTAACAGATGTGGCCAGAGAAGTCGTAAAAATGGGGCCACAATTCCCTTGACTAATTTCTCACTCAGCGACATAAATTTTGGGCTCCATTGTGGTCGTAGTTTGAGGACTACCTGTATTAAATTGCTAGGTACTTGTAGCTTTGCTACCTCAAGCAAGACACTTGTTGCTGGTTGCGGCAAAATCCATTTGACCCTTAACTACGTTTGCTTTTTATGTTCTCTCCTAGCTGGAAATCCTGTGCTCCGTCAATATACTCCAGTTCATATTTATTGCCCTCCGATTGGACGAAATCATCAAGTGGCCATGGCTTGTACGTAAACTGCGATTACACCTCGTTCTCTTTTCAGAATGTCAGGGTTTTTAGGTCGGTGTTGTGGCTGGCACGCCAAAATAAGCAATGTATAGGTTTTGACATTCTGACGTAGTTGCAGAGGAATCCTTTGGAGTGGCGAACTTAATGCGCCTAATTCGACCTCGTCACCCGAGCAAGTTAAGTAAGGGAAGATCTAATGAGTACTTGAACGATATTCCTCTTGGAAATTCCAGCCTGTAGGTGAGACTGGAGGTACAATGGTAGAGGAAGCATTTAATGGGATTAGATAATAATAATAATCATCATCCTTGCCCAAAATAAACACCTCAATAGAAAAGAATTTTTGTAGTTGCAAGGTTGAACTGGGGGTTTGGTGCTCTCTGAGCTTGGTTGTTACCTTGTAGATGTTTCATGACCCAACTAGGTAACATCATCAGTGCTAGGAGGAAGTAGGATTTGCCAAATGGAGGAGGAAGAGGAGGAGGACAATGACTGTAGGGTCCTTGGTGCTCTCTGAGCTTGATTGTAGATCTTTCATGACCCAACTAGGCAACACCATTAGTGCTAGAAGGAAGTAGGATTTCCAGACTGGAAGAGGAGGAGGACAATGACTGTGGGGTCCTTGGTGCTCTCTGAGCTTGGCTGTCACCTTGCAGCCATTTCATGACCCAACTATGTAACGTCATCAATGTTAAACGGAACCCCCACACAAATATTTCAAAGCATATTCCTACTCATTGTTAGAACCTAGATTTTCAAACGTTGGATGCATAGAATGGAAATGAGCGGTCCTTTTGAGTGACAAGTGTCTCTCTCTCTCTCTGCCCTCTCCCACCTGTTTTAATTTCCAGGTTGTTTGTGTCCCTCTGTGGATCCTGATGTCCTTTCTCTGTTTGGTTGTGCTATATTATATCGTTTGGTCAGTCTTGTTCTTACGCTCAATGGACGTGATTGCCGAACAGAGAAGAACACACATTACGATGGCCGTCAGTTGGATGACGATCGTGGTTCCGTTGCTCACCTTCGAAGTAGGTTGAACCATATCTATCTATCTATCTATCTCTATATCTGTCTATATATGTCTGTCTGTCTATGTCTGTCTGTCTACCTATCTTCTATCTATCTATCTATCTATCTATCTATCTATCTATCTATCTATCT